AAAATATGAACGGAAGTTAACCACCAAGATAAAATCGGCTATGAGCCAGTGGGTCACTTGCTAACGAGATGTATCAGCAACAATTAATCATAAAAGCGCATAACAACTGCGTGAAACGCATCGCCATCCACCACACAGACATCTCACAAGGTCAATTTTGCTTCTCTTAAACACAGAATGAGATGATGATACCCTTTCCTCGGCATATTTACTACTCCTGTACAGCAACTCACTTAGTGCAAACATAAATTCTGGCACAATAATTCTAGAAGCGAAGTAGCAGCACAGCAACGATGCTGAAAGACTCACTTTGAGATGACCTTCTGGACACGACTGCAGCGCATGACTCAAATCAGGATTCGTCGGCCTTCCATCCGGAAACCGATAACTTAAAATTAAACACTGGACGAATAGAGAAGTTCCAGATGAGAAGTTTGGGTAAGAAATGATATTATTACACATGCATAATGCAAGAAAAAAGTCTTACAATCCTTCTCGACTTCCATCAACTAATGCTTGGATTAGCGATTTATTCTGTGGTATCGTTTGATAAATTTTGCCATCCGGAGCGACGTATCCAACTGCCCACTGTCCAAGACGGGTGCAACTCAAACGGAACACATAGCTAAAAATAAGTTTAGCATAATTTCAGCCCAAAAATTAGGCAGACAATCATCGAGAAAATAACTTAACAAAGATAGTGTAACCACGATTTTCTAAAGGAGTTGGAAGACGGGAGGCACTTTTAATGGAATATACAGTACCACTTCAACCCAAAAATTTGATAGTGGACAAAAGCTGCTTAAGCAACACATTGGAAATACCTCGAACTACTCGTATTTTCCACAGATTAAAACTTCGGCGGACCGAACTACCATTCCCAAATAAGCTAACAAAGCGAACAAGAAAATATCAGTTCCCCCTCCTTTTCTTCACCAATTACCAGAAAGCATGCGTTCAGCTTACTGCTGTATCAGCCATCTAAGGCCTGCTGATGCGACACATCACTGGGATTTCCTCTGCTCAACAAATGTGGTATCCTACTTTCCTCAATCACACTATTGTTTTCAGTAGCCCCTCTTTATGGAGATTGCAGCAACCGAAGAACGATTTTCTTCTAGATTTCTTGCACAGAAATTTACTCGTCCAAGTTCCCACAAAATCCTCAACCACCGCCACTGCAACGGTGAGGAGAAGCTGTATACAACAAAAAAAAAACCTTTCCCATACATCCCAATTCTTATGGTTATGTGCTAAAATTGCTGATTCTATTGAAAAAAAGAAACATGACGAACAGTTCCCGCAAAAAAAACCACTCTGCTTTCAGATGGTTACGTTAACACTCCAGAGAGTAACCCATGCATACAGAGTGATAACAGTAACAAACCTTCCAGGCTTATTGCTATATTTCTGCAGCTTTTGTTTCACTTCGTCATAAGTGAGAAATGCAACATATCCAGGATGAGTGACAGCAAGCAACTGCCAGTTACGAAGCAGTGTACACCAGGGTTGGAAAAGCCTGAAATAATTCAAAAATCAACGCAGATACTTGACGAAAATCAAAACTACGGAATGCGAAAGATTTTTGGAAGTGGCTCGAGAGCACTTTATCGACAGTAACTACGTGCTATGAAAGCCACCGATGATGCTAGTAAAGCTCTTAACAGTTCTGCTTGTAGCAAAGTAAAAACAGTCCAACTGCCTGCCATGCTCCGACAACAATTATTGCAAGCACTTCAGAAACCCTGACCAGACTGGCTTCTCTAATAAAACCTACGGCTCCCATTTTGGGGATGAGGGCCCGTACATGCATGTAGGTTAATTTCCCAAAGTTTCAGCCCTGTAGCTTTTGTAAGTCAACGTCACTTGCCATTACCAAGTCAGTTAGCATAAAAACTGAGAAATCTCTAGTGTTTTTAAGCATCGATAATAAGTGGGCGAGCGCATATACCTTGTAAAGACGTCAAACTCAAAGTTCGAGATGTGTTCATTGACCGTGAGGTCAATGGTCGTCTTCAGAGCAAGCGTTTCAAGGCCGGTGTTCAGTTTGTGCACCTTACTCAATGCAGTGCGAAAGTCGAACCAAGGTACCGTGGTCCTAAAAATATTCTCATTTCAAACAGAAACATCATTCTCCACAAAATCCGGGCAAAGTTCTCAGCGGTCAGAACAAGAAAAGCCAATACAGTTACGTGAATTCAACAAACACTGCACCGGCTGCCCAAAAATTCTCCCATCAATCTCGACAACTACTTAAGGAGTGAAACTGGAGCAGTCCGTGAACAACAGCAAGCAAGCAAAGAATTCTCCAAGAGAAAAAGGGATTTTGAATAACGGACAACTGTAGCACTTTTGCATCCATTTTTTGCAGTACAGGTATTGGAGGATTCTTTTTTTTTAAAAAAAAAACGAAAGGATATTAAAAAACCCGAAGAAGAAAAGAAAAAACTATCACGTAGCTAGGAAGGGCAGTCATTCCCCTCTCCCAGCTCCCACTTTCTCATCGAATACTCCACTGATGCAACGTATACACTTCGACTACCACTCACGGATAAAACAGGCAAAAAGATACAGTAGCAGCAGCTGTTAAAATGCTAAAGCAAGGAACCATTCAAAGACTTATTGCCCGCAAGTTGAACAGGCATCGAAGAAGCTTACTTGGCACCAAACGACTCCCTCCAAAATGCATCCGCTTCTTTTTTTGTGATGCGGAAATTTTCGCCAATGAAATGCCCGTCCGGAAATTCGGCTTTCAATTCGGCCAGCATATGCGAGAAGATCAGAGACTGCTTGGTGAGGTTTCGTCGCGCCGCCGATCGCTCATCGTAAATTCTTTCGCGATCCTCTTTGAAGAGTTTCAACGTCTGAAGACTTCATCACCTACGAATGGGAGCGACTGCATGCACGAGCAGAAAAGCGGTCTTTCCCTCTCTCTCTCTCTCTCTCTGAAGAAAGTGGCCCCAGTGACAGCACCCTGTCCGTGATCGCTTCTTTTACTAGGAGAATGAGAGAAACGAGATGAATCAACGAAAAGCAGAGAAAAATGGCTCCCCATCGACTGATTGAAGTCAACCGCCAAAACGCAACAGCATGATTTGCTTGCTAGGCGCGCCAGAATTCACCAGCACATTTTTTATCCTCCC